CACTGCAGTCCCCATTTAATTGTAATCCTCTATTTGGGTTCTTGTGTCATTGTTCTGAAATCCAAAATTTTCTTTATATGATAAACCTTTGGCCTACATGACAGAAAAATGGAACTTAGTAAGTAATTTCTGCAAAAACGATTTGCAACTGAATTGGTTTTGGGATTTTTTTTTAAGAAAATTTTTTTTGGTAACCTAATTATTTCTCAAACTAGCCCATAATTTCATCAATGGAGCTTAAGCCTGATAGAAAAAGCGCTGTGGGAAAAGAATTTTTTATAATCATTTAGAAATTTGCAATGGTTTTGTGTCTTTGTTTAACATTAATTATGTTGTTTTTCTGTTGCATCCTATGTAAAAAATATAGAAAAGCTTAAACAAGAAGAAAGGATTTGAACCACAAAAGAATTCATTTGAGTGTATCCAAAAATAGAGTCCACTTTTGCAACATCCAATTTTGTAACATCAAAACAAACTACACCCCAAAAACATCTCCAGAAAAATCTGTAAAAGGGATTCACAATCTCCTCAAAATGAGTTTCAACCCAAGAATTAAAAAGAGCATGTCTTCTTGTTCTTTGCCTCTTCATGTTGCAGCCATTTGTGCTGTTTTGATCTCTTTCTTGGGTTGTGCTGATGGCCTCTCCGCTAAACAAGTCATAGACTCTCCTTTATTGACAGAGAAAATTGCCACCAACAGAACTATTGTGGTTGATATCAATGGCAAGGGAGATTTCACGTCTGTCCAAGAAGCCATTAATTCTGTTCCGAAGAACAATGACGGATGGATTATCATCCATGTTAGAAAAGGGGTTTATAGGTAACCATTCAATCTTTATACATTTGATATTTGTAAGGTTTTTTGTTGAATATCCCATCTTCATATTCTTTCCACGTTTTGGGTGGCAGAGAAAAGGTTCATGTACCTAAGAGCAAACCTTACATCTTCATAAGGGGTAATGGGAGAGGAAGGACGGCCATTGTCTGGTCACAAAGTTCTCCTGATAATAAGGCGTCTGCAACATTCACCATGGAAGGTCCCCATTTCATTGCCTTTGGTATTAGCTTTTCGGTAATCATTTCTTTTTGCACTATTTTGAATGTTAATGCACCTAAATGAATTTGTGCTTTTTTTCTGTTGCATAAATAATGGCCTTAAGAGAATTTGTCTGCATAGAATATTGATCGTAGTTTCACCTTATAGTAGTCCTTTTCTGCCCTAATTATGCATATACAGAATTGATTTTGTGTATGTTAGGGAATTTGTACTTTGCTTGTAATAAAAGCTTGTGTTTTAATTAAAATAGAGATTGACAAACAATTGGGTATATTGGGGCATTGATAATTTCCTCTTTGTTTGGTGACCAATGTAGAATGAGGCTCCCACTGGAGTTGCTTATACATCACAGAATCAGTCAGTGGCAGCGTTCGTGGGTGCAGATATGGTTGCATTTTATCACTGTGCATTCTTCAGTACCCACAACACTCTCTTTGATTACAAAGGAAGACATTACTATGACAATTGTTACATCCAAGGCTCTATCGATTTCATTTTTGGCCGTGGAAGGTCAATGTTTCATGTAAGTATACAGCATTTAATTCGGCTCAAGTGTTATAATTGATGGAGAGACTGATTTTGACACAACTGAGGATGGATAATGCAGAGCTGTGAGATCTTTGTTATTGATGACAAGAGGGTGACAATTCATGGGTCCATAACAGCTCAGACCAGGGAGAACAGACTTGACAATAGTGGGTTTGTGTTTGTCAAAGGAAAGGTTTATGGCATTGGTGGTGTCTATTTAGGAAGAGCGAAAGGTGCCTATTCCACTGTGGTTTTTGCAAATGTGTACTTGTCGAAGACCATTGTTCCTGCAGGTTGGACCAATTGGAGCTATGACGGTCCCACTGAGTAAGAAACTCTCACTTCCACATCAATTATATGACACTAACTCACTCTTCAATTTACCCTAACAAAATTATTTGGATGAAAACAGAAATCTATTTCATAGGGAATACCGGTGTCACGGACCAGGAGCTGAAACAAAAGGTCGTGCCCCATGGTGGAAAGAACTTACATATGAAGAAGCTGCGCGCTTCACATCCATTGACTTCATAAATGGCAAAGACTGGCTTCCTGTATGGCTATGAAATTCATAGTCGGAGATGCTTCTGTCCTACAAATTACACAAGAATAGAAGAGTACATGCTCATAAACCTTCATCTTGACGGCTGTTTTCTATATGTGATCAAGAAATGTAGGGCTATGCTTGAACGAATTTAGAAGAAAAACCATAATGTATGGGTAAAGAAACTTGTGCTTCATGTGCAGCAGGTTTAAACTTTATTGCCATATCTCCAAATTATGTATTTTCCGTAAGATAGTTGTTGCTGTCTGGTATAAATATTGTAAGTTCATTTATTGATGTATTATGTTCGTCTGTAATAATGGTTTAAGGATGGAAGAAAGATGTATCTGAGCTACAAAAATAAGATGCTGTAATGGTAGTATACATTGGCTTTGATCTCAAAATTGCACTTCTCCTAAAATTGACTGCCACCTGACTGAGGTTAGCTTAGACTCTCTTCTTGTAGGGTTTTTCTCTCCTTTCGATAAGAGTCTCCTCTTTCTTCTTCTCTCTTCTTGGCCATCACCTTCTATAAGAAAGGGCGGTGGGGGCGA